AAGACCAAAAAAAAAAGTGATGTCTAAATCATGTAACTAGTGAGCAATAAAGCTAAGAGTACTGTCCACCTTTTCTGGCTTTATTAACAAGAACAGTAATTTCTGTTTATTGAAACCTGTATACTCAGTGCTTTGTATACACATACTGTTTTAATTTTATGTGCTTTAGTGTTCTGCCTACATATATGTTAAGTGCATCCATGTCATGAAAAGCCCATGGGGGCCAGAAGAGGACTGGGATTTGAACCTGGGCCTTCTGCAAGAACAGCTAGTGCTACTGAGCCATCTCTCCAGCCCCATATAACATGTTCATAAAGATTTTTTATTTTATGTGTATGTGTATATTGTATGCATGTATGCAAGTGCACCTGTGTCATGCAATACCCGAGAACAGAGAGGGCATCGGATCCCCTGGAAATGGAGTTACAGACAGTTGTTAACTTCCATGTGGGTGCTGGAATTAGAACCTTTGCAAGAGCAGCTGAGCCATCTCTCCAGCCCCCATTTTGTTTTTTTTAAACAGAAATGGTGGAACACACCATACTTGGCAAGCTGAGGCAGAGGATCAAGAAAGCAACTCTATCTCAAAAGACTAAAACAAAAAGCACCTTAACAAATGCTTATAGAGAGAACTGACTGATGTTTGCCGCTTACAGATAGTGAGACAGCCAAGAGTGGGGGCCAGAATGAGTGGGAAAGAAGGAAATCTGGAGAAACTAAAATTGACTATTCTGCACCAGATAAATCCTTCCTCCCTAGTCTGTTGTTCATCTGTTCACTGGCTTGGCATTTAGAAAATTAAGTTGTGAGCCCCTTCTAAAATGTATTGCCTACCAAGATGTGGGTTCTAAAGAGGCTATTACATGGCTCATGCTTTCTCAGCTCTTCAGAGCACTCTCACCCCATGGTCATTGGTTACAGTGTCTCCTCATCTGGGCACTTCTGAAGACACCTGACCAAACCTAGGAATGCTCTTTCCTCACCTGTTGAAGAGCGCTGAGCCAGGAAGCTAGTAGACCCGGCTGTCTGGAGCAGAGACTTGGCCAGCCTGGCTTGACACAGCAGTACAACTTGCTCTTAGTGTTCAAAAGCCAGGGATGTCCAGTGATACTGTCTTAAAAGTAGGATGGTTAGCTACTGCTGTTAGTACTTTATCTTTTGGGTTGGTTTGGATTTTTGAGACGGTCTCACTCTGTATGTAGCCCAGGCTGCCTCAAATTGGCAATCTTCCAGCATCAGCCTCCTGAGTGCTGGGATTACAGGAGTGTGCCATCATACCCTGCTTAGTTATCTTCATTCAACAGTCCTTTAACTGCAGACTTTTATAAATTATGAATCTTGGGAATTGTGTCATGTTTTAATTTCTTCAACACTCAGTAGCTTCTTTTCTAGGGAGATCATAATTCTAAATGTAATATATCTAGAAACACTCACACAATCACAATCTTCTTTGACATAGCATTTGCTTGATGCATCCAGCAATCATTGCCCCACGTGCTCTACCTTCCCTGTGACTATGTGGCTGCAGCTGTTTATTAATCAGTGTGGAACTGCTGCACAATATCTTGTCCCAGCTGCTTGGTGAATGAAAGAACAGGGACTGGGCTGGAGCTCAGTGGCAGAGCACTTGCCTGTTAGGCACATGGCCCACAGTTCCATCTCCAGCACTGCACGTAATGTAGAAAAGCTGGCCAGATAAAAACACTTCCAAGCTCCATTTCAAAACAGTTCTGTCAGCTAGGCACGTGTATACATAAGTTGTGGTTTTTTTTACATTTGTGTGTGTGTGTGTGTGCGCGCGCACACACACGTAGAAGCCAGAAGACAACTGTGGGTTGGGTCTCTCCTTCCATCATGCAAATCCTGGGGCTCAAACTCAGGTCCTTAGGCTTGGCAGCGATTCATCTCACCCACTGAGTCATCTGCCCTACATAAGTTTTTGAAGGGACAGGTATGAGATGTGGTTTTTTTTTGGGGGGGGTGGTCTTTCTGAGACAGGGTCTCCCTGTAGCCCCAGGTGACCTGGAACTATGTAGACCAGGTTGGCCTTGAACTCAGAGATCTGCCTGCCTCTGCCTCCTGAGTGCTGGGATTAAAGGTGTGCACCACCAACTGGCTTGCATTTATGATAATTTTATCACCATCATCTAGTACCATTCATGGCCAAGTGGTTCTGTACCAAGTTCTACATATGGAGAGTTAGCACAGCCATGCAGCTCAGCGATGGAGCCATTTGACAAGCAGCCCTCATTAATCCAAAGACAATGCAATTTTTTCAGAAAGGTTTTGGAGCATATCTGTGAAATGGATACCAGTATCTCTTTTGAGGATCACATTACACTTAACTTTTACTTGGTCAGAGTATTTTTTTCAGACTTCTGAAGCTAAATTAAGAATTTCTGTTCCTTATTCAAGTTCCAAGGATTATGCCTTTCCTGCTCTCTGCCCAACTTGGAAGATAGGAACCGTGGGAATAAGTATCTTTACAAACTGCATTTGGCTATCTTAGTTTATTTGGCATATTTGGGACTTTTGCTTCCATGGAATCTTATTTCTGTAATTCTCTCTGAACTGCATTTTTCCCCCTGGGTCCTGCCTTTAAGACAGGGCTGTGAAGTGGTGAAGTGTGTAGGTAATGAGTCCCGGGAACTTCTAGTTCATCCTGTTCAGTGCAGCTTCCCTCTTTCTAGACTACTCTGTAAACAGGAAAAGGAAGCAAAGGAAACAGGGAATTGAGACTTAATAGGGTTTACTTGTTTGAGATCATAGCTGAAAAATACGAGGCTCAGTGGGATTTGAGTCAAGAGTTTAAAGAATATGCATTGTCTTCTGGGCGCTGGAAGAGTTGGCTGGAAGGCAGCTTCTGTCCTACCCACGTCCATCTCAGTCATGCCTGGGAAGGATGCTGTGCTAATTTTAGACATGGACTGAGATGCACAAAGGACAAGGCATCACACAAAGCATTTCCAAAGCCAGGGACAGATTTAAAGTCCTTGACTCACTGCTCTTATTCCAAACCACACACTATACCCAAGTGAATTGCTGTTAGATTGGTGCCTTCAGAGGAGACAATGGCTTGTAATTGGCAGCCATAAGCCACTTCACTGAGAAAGTTGGGGTCTTAGGTGCTTTAAGAAATAACTGATAGGCTAAGGCCTGAGGGAGTCAGGCTCTTAGACTTTTCAGATTGAGTCTCTTTGATCTTGTTGCCCCCTCTCCCCAAATCAGGAAAGCAAGAAACCCAAAGCAAAGACCCTCAAATTGGTATCAGAGTAGAGGCCTTTCCCTTATAACCTACTTCCAACCAGTGTCTACCAAAGTGCAGGTATAAAACTGCCCATCCAAATCACTCAGGGTATACATGGATTAAACATGCAGATTCCGAGGTGTCTTCCCTCCAGACACTGCCACAAGAGGTGAAGACCGGCATCTGTGCCAAGCATCCTTGGGGGTCCCCTCCTTCAGATCAGTAGATCTAACCATGGAAGGTCATTCTCATCACCTGGAAACTTTTTAGTTAATAAAAAGTACATTGTAAAGTACATTCTTTACTACAAAGAATGGAACCTACATAAGTAAAACCAGCTTGCTGTTTGGTGTTCCTCCAGACATCACTATGATATATATGCAATGATTTTACTGCAGGAATCATACTACAATATTGTTTTGCTCCTTGTGCTCTCACCCCCACTCCCAGCTTGTTTTTTAATTCCAGCTCCTCTATTATGACAATAACAATGTAACTTTGTAGAATTACTTAATCTCTCAAATTCTTGGTTCCCAGCTTGTTTCTAACTAATAGAATATTGATATGTGAGCACATCCTCTGGTATATATGAGTTAAAAAGAGCTGACAGTTTCTCTGACTTCCAATCTAATGGTTGCATGCTAATCAGCTGTACCCAACTACAAAAAACTGGAAGGCAGCTATGCTCACCCACTGTACCACCAGTGCATGCTCGGGATGCCAGCCTGTCTGCCATTTGGGAATGTGGGTTAGAATTACCAGATCAGAGTCTTCAGAAAAGCAAGAAATCTGAGTTTGTTAACTAAGTGAGAACTAACTCAAATTAAAGGCTGGGTGGGTCAGCCTAAATGCTTTCAATCCAGACACTGCCCTAATGCCACCCCTTCTGAAGCTTCAATTGTGCTGTATACACAGCGTTCCACATTGTGACTGTTATATTTATTTAACCTTTCTGCTAATGTCAAACACTGGGCTGTGACATTACAAGTGCTACACCAGTCATTCTTGTGTGCCGCAGTGTTTCTTCTATTAACTCTGGGTGGGAGCTAAACGGCCTCCTAAAGACTGCACCAACTGCAGTCCTCTTCCTTTCTAGGAAGTCTTAAACTCATTTCTTCTTCTCTTCTCTCTTCCCAAGACCCAATGCAGCAGGCCAGAAATGGTGCATTTTTAAACTCCCAAGTGATTCTGATGCTCAGGGATCTTAAAACCATCACCTTAGATTACCAAAAAGTTGTCTGGGCCATTTCCATTCAACTACCAAAGAAAACTGTGACTACTTTTATGATTTTATGTTTTAGGCTTTTCCCTCTAATTACAGTCTCTCTATGAAAACACAAAAAGAGCTCTGCTGCTGCTATTTCAGTTCACTCAGAGCTCAGGACAATAAAGAAACTTGAGAACTTTCCAGTAGCTTTTATTGGCACAGCCTAGGAAAAGGTATGGAAGCCATTTCTGAGCAAATATCTATCCCAGAAAGGTAGTCAGTGGTATGTGTAATACACCACTGAACCAAAAAGTTGGAAGTTCCTGAAACAGCCAAGTCACGAAGAGGTTCCAAAATCAACAGGCTAAGCCCTGCTGTCCAGTTAAGACTGAACGGTAAGAAGCAGTCCTGGACACATGCCTTATTGGAGGGCAGGAAAGAGGTTTTTCAAGTCAACTGTGTCCACTCCCATTGCTAGGATACTTGCAGCAGCAGCAGCACTGCGTGTCGGCTCCACTCTGCATCTAAGCCAGTTCTGTATAGTACGACTGGTAGTCAGAGGACATGGTCATCAGGATGGTAGAGCTCACTCATCAGGCGGTAGATGTAGGATGGAGCATTGCCCCCAATGTTGGAGATAAAGAGAGTGATGAGCTCGGGGGGCACGTAGTCAAATACAGGGCAATGAACACTGACCTTCTCCAGTATGTCCCCTGCAAGACAATCACATGCTAGAGAGAAAGCTAAGGATCCAACTCTTTATCAGTCCCACAGAGAGTCTAAGCTCAATAATGCATGTATGCAAGCAAGCTGAGGCAAAACTCGGATTGGGAGAGACCATTCCAAACCATGACTCATGCTTAACATTCTCCAAAGGCTGAGGCAGGAGTTTAAGAATAGCCAGAGAGGTCTCAAATCAAAATGAAGAAAAACAACAAAAAGAAAATGAATCTCTCCAAATTCTTTCACATAGCACTTAGAATAAAATTCAAATTCAAAATTGCGAACTTCAAGATCTGGCCCTGCTCCACACAATAATCTGTACTTCTCTCTCCCATGCTCATTACTCTCCAGCCACATAGCCTAAGCACAGACCCTTGAGGCTGTGCACACCTTCCCTGATCTTCATGTGGTGAGGCTGGTTCATCTGGGACTCAAGCAGTGTCATCTCATTAAGACCCATCCCTAGTCTTAGGTAGTCCCCTAGCTACTTCTGTCTCACTACCACTATTCTTTTCCTGGAACATCCCAGGACCTGACTTTCTTTGTCATCTGCAGTAGAACTGTAAGGGCTTTTGGAACAGAGCCTTAATGCCTTCATTGTTTTATACTCTAACCTAGACATAGTAGATATGCAAGAGGTATTTCTTTTAGTTAGTTTTGTTGTTTTTGAGACAGCGTCTCCCTGTAGTCCCTGCTGGCCTGGAACTTGCTATGTAGAGCTGGCTGGCCTCCAACTCAGAGATGTGCCTGTCTCTGCCTGGGACTAAAGGTGTGCACCACCATGTCCAGCTGGGTTTTGAGGTAGTGTCTCATTATGTGGCCCCAGCTAGCCTAGAATTCACTATATGAGACTAGGATGGTCTTCATCTTGTGGTGATCCTCCAGTCTCAGCCTCCTTAGTGCTATAATTACAAGCACATGCCACCAGACCTGGCTTCAAAGATTAAATGTTTTGTTGGGTTATTTTTTATTGGGACTTTTTTTTTTTTTTTTTTTGGTCTTTTGAGACAGGGTCTCGCTATAGCCCCAGCTGGCCTGGAACTATGTAGACCAGGTTGGCCTGGAACTCACAGAGATCCACCTGCCTCTGCCTCCCAAGTGCTGGGATTAAAGGCATGTGCCACCACATCCAGCTCAAAGATGGAATGTTTAAAAAAAGGGATGAAGTTATTTAACTTCTAAGAATTAGGATGACACATACTGTGCTCTGTTCTTACAGGGTGTGTATAACCACCTGAACTGCTGATTAGGCAATAGGCTCACTTAGCAGAGCTCCTGCCTTCAAACAAAACCAAAGAGGAACCCCGCCATCCCCCCAACACGAGGGTATCCCAGCTACAGATGAACTTGCCAGTAGGAACATTTCAGAGGCTGTTGCCTTTGGCAGCCAATTCACCAAAATGACTCCTTACAGTAACTGAAAAACAAGTCTATTTTCCCACTTAGTTGTTGCCTATATTTTGAATCAGTTGCAAAGCTGAACCCAGTCAATGCTAAGAGATTAAACCAACATGGCCCCATCAACTAATCTGATGTATATTAACCTCAGAATGTAAACTGCTAAAGAAAATAGTCCTCACAAGAAGTATGATTTAAACAATATATATAAAAACCTGATAACATTCAATCCTACTGACCACCAAAAGAACAAAAAGGGACCCGTACCCAGCCCCTGCCCACAGACATACACACCTTCTGTGAAAGGAAGGACTTCTTCAGGAGCCACAAACTTGTGAAATGAATCTTCTTCACTAGGGAACTAGAAAATAGGAAAAAAAAAATTTTTTTAACGAGACCCAGCAATTCCACTCCTAGATACGTATCCAAGACAAGTGGAAATGCATGACCCACAGAAAATTTCATACAAATGCTTAAGGCAGTACAATTCACAGAAGCCAAGATTTGGTAGAGCTAACTCAACCATCAATAAGTAAACGGTTAACTAAACTATGTTATTTCCATACAACTGAATATTATTTAGCCTTAAAGGGGAAGGACATGCTGGCATGTTACATTATGGATTAATCTTGAAGATACTCTACTATGTGAAAAAGTTGAGACACAACATGTCATATAATGTATGCTTTCTTTTATGTAAAGTATCTCAAACTAGCAAATCTATAGAGGAGGTAGATTAGTAGTTACTAGGAGATGGGGAGAAAGGGGACTAGAATAGGAAGTGATTATTTAATGGTTATAGGGTGTTTTTCTGGGATGACTAAAAGGCTTGAAGCTAGAGAATGATGGTTAATGATGCTGTGAATGCACTAAATATCACTAAATTGTATGTTTTAAAATGGTAGGTGGGTTTTCCCCTTGTTGGATGCATTACTACACTAACATACATTACAATTACAGGAATGAAAAAGCCTGACTCCTAAATTTAGTTTTTAAGAGTGGGCCCAATGGGGCTGGAGAGATGGCTCAGCAGTTAAGAGCAGTGGCTGCTTTTGCAGCAGAGGATCTGAGTTGGATCTAAGCACCCACATGGAGGTGAACAACTGCCCATAACTCCAGTTCCAGGGAATCTGATAAAATATTTTTTTTAAAAAAGGAATGGGCCCAAACTCAGAGGACACCTGTTCCTCTAGATATCTCTTGGAATCATCTGTCTCCTGGAACTGTGCTCTTGAGTCAGGGCACCTGTCTTTGATATGTTAATTCTCAAGCATACCCACATTCATTCATTATCTTTTTGGGTGGAGTACCAAATTGAGGCTCCCAGGAACTGCCCCTTCAAAAGACACAAGGTTCATTGAGTTTGCCAAGGTTAATTAAAATCCATTAGTCCATGGGCTGGAGAGATGGCTCAGCACTGACTGCTTTTGCAGAGGACCAGGTTTGTTTCCCAGCACCCACATGGCGGCTACGAACTGTCCTTAATTCCAGTTTCAGGGTAATCCGATGCCCTCTTCTGACCTCTTCCGCACTGCACGACACGGGTGCACTCACATACATGCAGGGAATACACTCATACACATAAAATAAAAATAATAAATATTTTAAAATTCATTAGTCCACATGTCTATTTTATAAGTTATCCCTGGGGCTGGAGAGGTGGCTCAGCGGTTAAGAGCACTGATTGCTCTTGCTGAGGACCCAGGTTCAATTCCCGCACCCACATGGCAGCTAACAACTGTCCGTAACTCCAGTTCCAGGGAATCCAACAATTTCTGACCTCCTAGGGCAATACACGACCCAGGTGCACTGTCACACATGCAGGCAATACATTTACATACAGACTAAAAATAATAAATAAAAAACATGACAATTAAAAAAAAAGTTATCGCTATAGTTGAGCAGCTCTTACTGGAGTTACCAGTGAAAATTCAACCATGGTTCTTGCTTTTGCCGCATCTATTCAGCCTGCCACAGTATGATCCAGAAATACATCTGGAAATACCAGCTGAGCATGTACCTGCAGTGTTTCATATCAGTACTTGAAGGACAAAGGTTCCTCTAAGTTGGACTAAGGGACCTTTTTTTTTTTTTTATTTATTATTATTTTATGTGTATGCATGTACTGTCTGCATGTAGTTAAGTGCACCCATGTCGTACAATGCCCATGGAGGACAGAAGAGGCTGTCGGATCCCCTGGAACTGGAGTTACAGACAGCTGTTAGCTGCCATGTGGGTGCTGGGATTCAAACTCAAGTCTTCTCCAAAAACAGTGTTCCCAACCACTGAGCCATCTCTCCAGCCTCTAAGGGACCTTTCTTGAATGGATTATTCAAAGACCATTTACCCAGTGGAAGAGATCATGCTAGTCTTTATACATAAAAAATTTTAAGTCCTTCAAAAAAAAAAAAAAAAGTAGGAGGGCATGATGTCAAACACCTTTAATCCCAGCACTCAGTAGGTAGAGGCAGGTGGATCCCTCTGTTTGAGGCCAGCCTGGTCTGTACAAAGAGACCCTGTCTCAAAAGCAAATAAAATAAAATTCATGCAAATAGCTTCTGTTCTGACAAAAATCACTGCTCATTTAATAACTGCTTATATTCACACTGCAGAGACAGGAACAATGGCAGAAAAAGGAGTCTATGATTGTAGTTTCAACATGCATGGTATTTTTGGAAACATTTGGAGCAATGGGGAGTGATGGCAACTGTATCCACAGGGCCTTTCCCTGTCCCATGTTACCATGACATTATAAACTTGATTTTCTAAAGGTAAGAGATTACAACTGTCAGTTGTGTTTCTGGCTCAAGACTGCTGTGGCTCTTCTTAGCCTATGGTGGATCTAATCCACTAAGCAAGAAACAAATAAAAAGAGAATTCAGAGTAAGTTGAAGGCCAGAATTCAGGCCTACACACTGGCTTCCTTTTCTCTGCTGACTACAAGCTAGAGACAAACTGACCTACCTGGGGGGAAAGCTTGAACATGGGTGCACATACGATGAGTGGAGTAGAATGGTGCTTTGCTGCCAGTGCCAGCGTGTGAGTTCCTGCCACGGCTCTCAAGGCACCATTGGCCAGGATGGTCTTTGTGCCGATGATCACCTTAGGAATGAAAAGAAAAATGTGCGCCAGCTTGGGTAAGAGTCCTAAAATGCCCAGTGGCTGAGGCCTGTATCTGCATCTGGAGGGCTCACAGGTCAACAGAGGGTTGACCTAGGTTCAGTGGTACAAGGTTCTAGCTTTGCCTAGGAAAGAGAATACAGCATGGGATGGGAAGCTGCAATACCCACCCTTCCTTCCCCCATCCCAAGTATCCCAAGTATATAGTTTCAAACGGCACTAGAAACTTTCTTCTCTTATAAGACAAGAAAAAGAAATCCTATTTCAGAAGCACAATCTTCATGAATTCAACACAGTAACTTCAAAGACAAGTACCTTGTTGACTCTTGACATAACAGCAAAAATGGCAGCATCAGTCATGACAGTTGTCTCAATACCTGCTTTGGACAAATTGACAGCCATTTCATGACCCTGCAACAGGAGGGAAAGGCTGTTGCTGGGAGAGAGTAAGACAGTGAAAAAAGTTCTTAGACATAACTGAATCTAGAGGATTCCATGATCTAGACAGATCCAGCATACACTTTCCAAGAGAACACTCATCTTTCTGTCTGTGGTATGTACAGTCTGGTTAGCCATAGGGACGCTAATAAATGTTACTCCCCACCAGCACCAGAGCAGCCATAAAACTGGAAATACAACCTGCTTGCATAATCAAGCACAGCTGACAAGAGAACTCCTGGCTCATTATTTTACAGCATCCTACAGCCTTACATACATCTTTTCTGAAACCTATTAAGTGTTAGGTGAGATCAGATCAAGCACTAGTCATCTCCAAGGTTATTTTCCCTATGATTCCGAAAATAATCAGTATTTCTCTCTCCTTAGACCCCAGTAAGTTACCCAACTTTCCTAAAATGTTTAAAAATGTCACAAGATGAGCAATTCGAAAATCCTCTTATTTTACCTTCTTAGTGTCTCTATGATATGCTTATCAATTCAAAGTTGGCTCAAACTCACTCATCCTCTTCCTCATATATCTCTGCAACCCAGCAGCCCCTTACCTGACAGAAAGGAGCACACTCTGCCACAATGACATGGAACTTCCTCTTCCGGGCTGCCTCTCTGAGGAAGGCCTCAACTGTTCTGGAGAAGCCAATGGTCATGATCACCTCATTGGAGTGGATGTGCTCCAGAGCCTGGGCTGCGATATTCTCCGTTGTGCCTTCTGCGAGAACAGTTTTGCAAGGGGAATGTGAAACTGCCATACTTCATCCCAGACAAACATGTCAACAGCTCTGAAAAGGGAGCCTGCCCTTCACATTCACTGCACGCCTAGCAGACCCTGGAATCACCATGATTAATAGGCTTAAAGTGAAACACCCCAATTTCTTAAAAGCCCCACTCCAAAGGGATCCTCTACTTCCTATTTCCCAGCAGTACCTCTACTCATCAGTGACCTCGCCATCATTCAACTAGCTCCTTACAACTGCTTTAGAAGATGATAAGTTTGGCCAGGCATAGTGGTACATGCCTTTAGTCCCAGTACTTGGGAGGCAGAGGCAGGTGGTTCTCTGTGCGCTAAAGGCCAGCCTGGTCTACATAAGTGAGTTCTAGGCCAGCAGGGGCTAGAGAGAGAGAGAGACTCTGTCTCAAAAAAAAAAAAAAAAAGATGAGTTCAGTAGAATAAACAGATTTTCACCTAACAGAACTCTTCCTCCAAAAGGTGGCCATTTGAGAAAGGGAGTCAAAAGTATTTTTCTTTAGAGGAATTTAGAAGCAGCAGTTTAGGGCACAGATAGTATGTAGTTTTTAATCCTCTGAAGAACCTGGATTATAATGAAAATCTTCCCCAGGTCTCTTTGAAGCAAGGAAGATTGTGTGTGTGTGTGCGTGTGTGTGTGTGTGTGTGTAAAAATTCAAGGGGCAGTGAGAGGGTAAAGGTGCGTGCCAGTCAAACCTGGAATCCTGAGTTTAATCCCTGGAATTCACATAAAGGTGGATGGCGGGAACTGATTTCACCAAGTAGTCCTCTGACCTCCACACATGTGCCAAGGCACAGGTCTCCCTGCACATCATGCACACATACAAGAATTTTTTTTTAAAACTCTAAGATGGTTTAGTGAAAAAAAATCTTGAAAATATGGCTTCAGGCAGTTAATTCTGTTTTTGCAGTGCTGGGGAGCAAACTCCTGACCTCAAACATGGTGTTCACAAGGTCTCACAATGCAACCCCTGGCTGGCCTGGAACTCACTATGTTGACCAAGCTAACCTCAAACTCAAGGGATCCTACCTGCCTCTACCTCCAGAGCACTGGGATTAAAGTCTTCACTGCTACACAGCCCCAAGTCCATTTTCTTTAAAATGAACACAAAGCTCTGCCCTAATAGAATCTCTGCCACAAGGGATTTATAAAAGAATAGGTCTGTACAAAAGATGGAGTTATGTTAGTCCTGCTGCCTGTTCCATCCATTCTTCGAAGATTCCTCTGGGAACCAAAGGACTGGTAATCTTGCCCATCCCTGCTAAAGAACAATTTCTGGGGCTTCTGTTTCCTGGTCGGCCTGTGACCTGTCATGTCCACTCGGAGATCAGACCTCTTACCCAGCTCCATTAGCAACTCATTAATCGCCTCAATGATGTTGGGCTTCAGTGGGGCATACTGGATGCTGAAATCTTCGCTCAGGCCTCCGGATGTCAAGAGCTTGTGCAGGGACTCCTGCTGATCGCTCTCGTCGCTACGTCCGTGCAGCCTAAGGAGGCAACAAGACCCAAAGAGGCGGGTGGGGAGGGGTGCTTAGGTAGGCACCAGAAGCTGCTCGGCAACAGCTGGGGCGCAGGTACTGAGAGGACATAGCCCAAAGCGTCGCTGGGTCCAGCCCGAGCCCAGGCCGTGAGCCCGACCTGCCATACTCCTCCCGAATGATCTTGAGAACTCTCCGCACCATGTTGCCCACCGTGGTCTCGGAGGGCTGCGAGGCAGTCATCCTCCTGCCCTCTCTGCGGATCAACTCCATCAGCTCCCCTGTAAGAGACACCCGGTGAGCGTGGCCGGCCCGGGTGCGGCCCGGGTGAGTGGGCTAGGCGCATCGAAAGGGGCCTAACAGAGCGGGGCTCGGCTGGCCTCACCCGCGTTGCTCCAGCGGTGGTCGGTGATGAGCCGACGCAGCAGCTCCAGGGTCTCCCGAGCCATGATCTCCGAGCTGCGCTGCCCGCCGCCCCTCTTCAGGGTCTCCACGAAGCTCTCGATCCTCCCGGACAACTCCGAGCCCTTCACCGCGGCTCCCGGCATCTCCACTGCAGCTGCGGGCGCAGCGAAAACCTGGCCAGACAGACCGCAGCTTCACTTCCGGGGCGAGAGAGGTCCGCTTCCGTTCAGTAACGCAAACTCGAGTTTAGGAAGTTGTAAGCCCGCCCCCTCCGTCAGCTGGGGCCAATGAGGAGCTGGGAGCTCGAGGCCTCCGGTCAGAACCGTGGGCAAGGAAGCCGGAAGGGACGGCCGGAAGTGGCCTTTCCTGAGCGTCGCGAAGCGCGGCCTGAAGCAGTTGGTATCCTGTTGCTATGGGAACAGCAAGGCGCGCTCCCTTCCGGCCACCCAGCTGCACTGAGCTAGTTGCCGCCGGGCTTTCTGGCCCCGCGGAGCGCGGACCACCCGGTGTCCTGGCACGCACTACTACTGAACGTCCAGGGCCGGGCAGACGCTCCGAAAGCTGTGTGTGAATGCGAGGTGCGGTGTGCGCCAGTCCCTACTGACCTTACCTTGTTATTTTCCTTGGTGCTGGGAATTGAATTTAGGGCCTCACCCGTGCTTGGCCAGCGCTCTTCCACTGAGCTGTAGTCCCAGCTCTTTTTTGCTTTTATATTTCCTTGGCCTAACGAAGGAATCGGGAATTCGACTACCTACCAATGAGATTCAAAGTAGCAAAGATGATGTCCTCCAGTTTGGATAGACTTGCCCTCCTACAGAGGCGGGAGAGTGCACACCATGTAATAAGAGCTACCACTTTAAGCTTACTCAATTGCTGTGTGTAAATTGTCTTAGTCTCACAGCTCTTTGAGATAGGCTCACTTATCCCCATTTTACAGATTAAGAAACAGACACAGTACAAAAGCAGTTAAGGAGCAGATAAATTGTCAGAAGCCAAATCTGTATTCAGAATCTCTATTAAGCGCACACCTTTAGTCTCAGCATTCGGGAGGCAGAAGCAGGTGGATCTCTGTGAGTTCGAGGCCAGCTTTGGTCTACATAGTGAGTTCCAGGCCAGCTGGGGCTACAGGGAGACCCTGTCTCAAAAAGACCAAAAAATAAAGTTGGGGGCTAGAGAGATGACTCAACGGTTAAGAGTATTCGCTGCTCTGGCAGAGGACCCAGGTTCAGTTCCCAGCCCCACATGGTGGCTAATATTCTTTTGTAACTCCAGTTCCAGGGGCTCCAACGCCTTCTGGCTGCCACAGGCATTACATACACATAGTGCCCTTACATACAGGCAAAATGCTCATAAACATGTTAAAAGTAATAACGAAACAAAGCACAGGCTTAAAAAAATTTATTTTATTTTATGTGTATGAGCATTGCCTGCATGTATGTGAGTGCACCCGTGTCCTGCATTGCCACGGAGGTCAGAAGAGGGCTTCAGATTCCCCTGGAACTGGAGTTAAGGCGGTTCATAGCCACCATGTGGGTGCTGGGAATCAAACCCAGGTCCTCTGCAAGAGCAGTCAGTGCTGTTTATCGCTGAGTCAACTCTCCAGCCCGGTGCAGAGGCTTTTAAGACTTTCTTTAGACAAATGCCTTCCAAAAAGATTACATCAGTATCAAAACAATGCAAAGACGATACAGGAAAACTGCAGACCAGTATCTGTCCTGAACCAAAAAAAATCTGTAACAAATTTATTAGCAAATGGAACCCAGCAATATGTGGTGGTGCAAGCCTTTAATCCCAGAACTCAGAGGCAGAGGCAGGTGATTCTGTCTGAGTTCGAGGCCAGCCTGATGAGTTCCAGGCCAGCTGGGGCTTCAGGGAGACCCTGTCTCAAAAAGACCACATAATAATAATAATACATAGGAAGTGGAATTTAAACCTGAAATGCAAAGCTGGTTCAGTGTGCGGCAAATTAGTCACTGTAATACTTCATATTAATGACCTAAATAAAATCATATGTTCGTATTAATTGATGCAGTAAAAAGCACTTTACAAAATTCAAAGTCCAATTATGACAACACAGAAAAGTAAGAATAGATGGAAACTTCTTCAACTTGATGAAGAATAACTATAAAAATCACAATAGTGGAAAACTGCTTGCTGCTAAGATCAGGACCAAGACAAAGATGTCTTCTGTCATTACTCCTGTTTGACATCATAAGCAAAGTCCTAGTTAGTGCAGTGAAGCAAGAAATGGAAATTAAAAGTATACAAACAGAAAGAAGGAAAATTGCCCTTATTCATATATGGCATGATTGTCTTCATAGAAAATGCCAAAGAGCATCAATGTACAAACCCCAAGAACTAATTAGTTAGGTTAGCCAGCATGAAAGGTCAGCGCACGAAAATGCGTCATGTATCTCTATATTAGCAATAAATAATAAGGAATTGAAATTAAAAGCAAATTGGCTCTAAAAAATGTTATGTATTTGTTTTTTTTGTTGGATATAAATTTTACAATGCTTTTAAAATTGCATCCATTTTCATATGTGCTAATACTTAACCAGTTTGAGACATTGTCATAATTTTTCTGTATAACAAGTCATTAAAAGTCAAAGTCTGGGCATGTCAACTTAGACCTCAGCTTTGGAATAGGTTAGGGCAGGGACGCAGGTGTTCCTCCGGGCAAGCCTTGGGACAAGGAGCAGGAAGGGGATAGAACTAAAAGCCAAAAATGGAAACACAAAGTATATATTACTGTTTTAAACATATAATTTATATGGTGGGGAATATATACTAATATCTCAATATTAAAATTCATAAATATAGAAAATAAATTAGGGGTTGGGGGTAGGAGTTGTTATTTGTTGTACTTTGCTTAGTCATCTTTCTGGTTGTTGTGACCAAATACCTGACATAAGCAACTTAAGGAAATTTCTTCGTTTTATTTTTAATTTATTTATGAGGGTAGGTGGGGGTGTTGCGTGCCATGGTACTTGTGTGTAGAACACAGGATAACTTGCAGGAGTTAGTTCTCTCCTACCATATGGGCTCTAGGGGTCAAATTTAGGTTGTCAGGCTTGGCAGCAAGTGCTTTTACCCACTGAGCCATCTTGCCAGCCCAGGAAGGCTTTGACTCCCAGTTTGAGGGCAGAGTCCATCAGGGTAGGAAAGGTATGGCAGAATGCATCATGGTTGGAAAGGGATGGTGACAGAAGTTGAGGCTGCTGGTTACACCATATCCACAGTCAGGAGCAGAGGGGGATGAATGCTGGTGTCTTGACCCCTTTCTCCTTTTTACCCAGTCCAGGACCCCAGCCCAGGGCATGGTACCACCTACATTTAGGGTATGTCTTCTCACGTCAATTAACCTCATCTAGATAATTCCTTACAGACATGCCCAGAGATTTGTCTCCAAGTGATTTTAGATCTTATCAAATTGACAATCAATGCTATCTACCTTGTATCTATAATTTTGCAAGATGAAAAGGGCTCTAGAAACAGATGGTAGGGAATGATTATAACTTTACATTGTACAACATTGTACATATGCTTCATAGAACTGAACTGTACACTTAGGAAAGTTAATGAATTAATTTAATTAAAAGAAGAGCCAGAAAGATGGTAAAATGAGTAAAGGTGCTTGTCACCAAACCTGACAATCTGAGTTCAGTCCCTGGGACCCACGTAGTGGAAAGAGAGAGAGAATATTAAGTCCTATGAGTTGTTCTCTGACCTTCACAGACAACCTGTGACATGTGGACCCCCACCCTCACTTCCACAATAGATAAATATCACCCATCCTCCCACTCCCACAATAAATAAATGTAAAAAGAATGACGTGGTACATGTTTATTTTATCACAATTTTAAAATATATTATGAATTGGGCATGGTAGCACACACCTTTGATCCCAACACTTGGGAGGCAGAAGCAGACGGATCTCTGTGAGTTCAAGAATAGCCTGGTCTACATAGCGTGTTCCAGGCCAGCTGGGGCTACAGGGAGACCCTGTCTCAAAAAGACAAAAAAAATTATATAGTAATGTATTTTTTAACTAAAATACTTCCTGTATCATCACATCAATGCATGTGGTCTTTACTCAATTTTCTCACTTCTCTGACACTCCAGGATAATTACTGTTCTAGTTACTTTCTATTGCTGTGCAAAACACTCTGACCAAAACCAACTTGGGGAAGAAAGGGTTTATTTGGTTTCCAACACAGTTCATCATCAAGGGATGCCAAAGCAGGGAACTCAGGGCAGGAACCTGGAGCACAGACCGTAGAGGAATGCTGCTTATTGACTGGCTTGCTCCCCTGGCCCCTGCTCAACCTGCTTTCTTTTTTTTTTTTTTTTTGAGACAGGGTCTCCCTTTAGCCCCAGTTGTCCTGGAACTCACTATGTAGACCAGGCTGTTCTTGAACTCACAGAGATCTGCCTGCCTCTGCCTCCCAAGTGCTAGTATTAAAGGCGTGCACCACCATGCCCAGCTTCAACCTGCTTTCTTTTTTTGAGACAGGGTCTCCCTGTAGCTCCAGCTGTCCTGGAACTCACTATGTAGACCAGGCTGGCCTTGAACTCACAGAGATCTGCTTGCCTCTGCCTCCCAAGTGCTGGGATTAAAGGCGTGCACCACCACGCCCTGCTCAACCTGCTTTCTTATACAACACAGGCCCACCTGCCCAGGGGTGGCACCACCCACAGTGGGCTGGGCCCTCCCACATCACTCAACAATCAAAATGTCTCACAGACAAGGCCACAGACCAGTCCAATGGAGGCAATACCCCAAATGAAGCCTTCCTCAACCCAGGTGTGTCAAGTTGACAACTAAAGCTGTTCAGCACAACTACTAAACTACACCTTTTGTTTGTTGAGACCCAGGTCAGTCTTGAGTTCCTGGTCCTTTTACCTCTACCTTCACATCAGAACAACAAAGCTACATTTTGGTAGGTATTTCTTTGCTTTACAAAATGTAAATATTTATAATCCCCAAATAACATATTATTTAGTTTGCTTGTTTTTATGTATATGAAAGCATAATCAAACTCAAAATCATTATATATTACAATATGTAAAAGCATAATTAATGCAAATTGCCTTTCCATTCAGTATAACATTCCTAAAATTCATCAGTGTTGGTACATGCAGTTTTTTTCCTCTACTGCATGATAATCCACCACAATTTATGCATTCCTTTTTCTTTAGATATTTTGGGGAGGACTATACAAATATAAATATATTGTGTATAGTTTGGCATTATTGTAATTGGAACAACTGGATCATAATCTATATGAATGTTCAACTTCACAAGTAGGTCAAGTCTTCCAAAGTTGTTGAATTAGTGTGTGCCCCTTCTAGCAATGTTTATGTGCTTACCAACACAAGGTATTATCAAACATTTTCTTTGTAGAAAAATATTTCAGTATTGTTTTAATTTGCATTTTCCTGCTTGCTAGTGATATTCATGTGTTTCAATGTTCATTATCTAGTGGGACTAAGGGACTGCAGAGATGGCTCATTTGGTAAAGTGCTTGCCACACAAGCAGGAGGACCTGAGTTTGAGCCCCAACACCTATGTAAAAAGTGCGTGTGGTGACACATACTTGCAATACCAGCACTGGGGAGGCAGAGACAGGCAGTCCCTGGGACTCTCTGGCCAGCCAGCCTAGCCTTGTTGGTGAACCCTGGGCCAAATGAGAGACCTTGCCTCAAAAAGCAAGGTGTGTGGCACCCGAAGCATGAACCCAAGGTTGACCTGTGGCCTCCACAGGCACACATGTGCAAGCATGTGCATACACACCTGCATGCACATACACATACACATACACATACACATACATGCTCACAGACAAGAAGAAGCGATGGAACTTAGTGTGAGGTGCTTAGGTCCTGGGCTTGTTTGGAGGGAATTATGGTGGTGGTTCTGGACCCTCAGCTAGCTCTCCCCAGAGGGTTGTTATTAAAGGAGCAAAAAGATGCTCTCTTCTCTAGCTATCTATTTCAAAATGTGATCTCTTCCTCCTACACAGGCTCCTGCTGTCGTGACACCATCCACCATTAGGTGGCCACCGAAGGCCAAACTCCACCCTTTCCCCATTCTTGCCTGATTTGGGCCTTTGAACTTCCAGCACTATAAACTAAATAAATGCCCTTTCTTTATGAAGTTAGCCTGCTTTGGGTATTTTATTATAGTAAAAGATGAAGCAAATACAACTACTTTGGGGGGGGGCATTAAAAATACACCTTTCATGGATCAGCAAGATAGCTTACTGGGTAAAGGTGCCTGCCACCAACACTGCCAGCCTGAGTTCAACCCCCAGGACCTACATAGTAGAAAGAACCAACTCCTCCAAGTTGTCCTCTGATCACCACACAGGTGCTGTGGCACATGCACGCACACACAAGCACACATGCACAATACATAAAGACATATTAAAAATACCTTCTAAGGTGCTGGAGAGATGGCTCAGTGGTTCAGAGCACTGACTGCTCTTGCAAAGGACCGGGGTTTGATTACCAGCACCCACATGGTGGCTAACAACCATCCGTAACTCCAGTTCCAGGGAAATCCAACACTTTCTTCTGACCTCCACGGGCATTGCACGACACAGGTGCACTTAGACACATGCAGGCAATACACTCATATACATAAAATTAAAATAATAAATGAAATATTAAAAAAAATACCTTCTGCCGGGCATGGTAGCACACACCTGTAGTCCCAGCACTTGGGAGGCAGAGGCAGGCAGATCTCCGTAAGTTCAAGGCCAGCCTGGTCTACATAGTGAGTTCCAGGACAGCTGGGGCTACAGGGAGACCCTGCTTCAAAAAGACTAAAAAAAAAAAAAAAAACAAAAAAAAACAACCCTTCTAAGGTGTTGAAGAGCTGCTTAGCAGTTAAGAACACTGGCTGTTCTTGCAAAAGACCCGGGTTCAAATCCCAGCACCCACATGGCAGCTAAGAACTGTCTGTAACTCCAGTTCCAGGGGATCTGACGGCCTCTTCTGTCCTCCATGGGTATAGCACAACACAGGTGCGCTTACACATGTAGGCAATACACTCATACACATAAAAATAATAAACTATTTTTAGAAAACATTCTAATAGATTTGTAGAATTTTAAAACTATATTCTGTATATGAACCTTTTTTTCAGCATTTTTTTCATTTTATAGTGTGGGGTTGGAGGACAACTTGTGGGAGTTGATTCTCTCCTCCTACCATATGGTTTTCAGGGAATTGAACTCAGGGTGTGAGACTTGGCAGCAAGTGACTTTACCCACTGAATTGCCTTGCTAGCCAGTACTGTATTTTCTAAAATACTGTCACTCTATTTAGAATGTTTTCTTACTCATTTTGAGACAGAACAAGAATTTTTTATGTTAATGTGCTCAAAGGTATTGCCCTTGTCTCTCATAGTGAATGCATTGTGTCTTATTTAAGAAATCCTTCCCTAATCCAAAGTCAAAAATAAAAATCTCTATTTTCTTCTAAATATTTTATTTATTTTTAAGCTTCATGATGTGAGGGATTGAACCTAGGATCTTAAGCATACTCTACCACTGAGCTATACCGCTAGCATCTTCTAAATACGTTTAAATTGTCTGAATACGTAACTTGGAACTATTTTTTATGTGAGGTGGAAGATAGTAATCTAGTTATTTTTCCATTCTTTCTCTAGTGACTTCTAATGTCGATTATCAAGTTTCCATAATGTATGAGTCTGTTTGGGGGCCTCTGTTTTATTTAATTGCTAAACTTGTTTATTCCCAAACTAATCTGACATTTTCTTAACTATTGCCTTATGTTTAAAAAAAATAGTCTTGCTCTCCAGTTAGAAGAATTTCTTTTACTATTTCTTTTCCTTTAGAACATCTTGAGTGGTTTGGGGCTTTTCTTTTATCATGTACATTTTAGAAACAACTTGTCTAAATTTTTTTTAAATCTCCATTGAGGTTTTGATTGGAAGAATAAATTGAAGAAAAATTGACATATTTAAATTACTAGGTTTTTCTATCCATGATCATGGAGTATCTGTCAATTTATTCAGGGCTTCAGGGTCTTTCCGAAGCATTTAATGATTTTCTCCATCTAGGTCTTCCATGTCTTGTGTATGATGTATCACTAGATACCCTCTATGCTTGTCACCATGGAGCCATCTCTCTAGCCGCTTGTTTAGGTTTTTGAGATAGGGTCTTGCTCATTCCTAGTTGTTGTGGAACTCTACAAACTTGTGGCCATCCTCCAAATGCTGGGATAATGGGAACATGCCAACAAGTTGAACAGTCTCCTGCCTCTTTGCATTTCTTCTCACGAATCTCTGGTCAGATGGTTTCCCATTTTAAATACTTATTTACTTATGGAAGTAGTAGTAGTAGTAGTAGTAGTAGTAGTAGTAGTAGTACTGGGGGTCAAATTCAGGGCCTTCTCCATGTTAAGCAAGCACTCTACCTCTAGGCTACAACTCCCAAGTTTGCCCATTATTTTAATGTGATTTATGGCAGTCAAGGATGCCTAGTCAATCTTTCTTTCTTTCTTATTATCTTATTAGCACAACTGCCTCTGGGTTTTTGTTTGTTTATTTGTTTGTTTGTTTGTTTTTGTGACAGGGTCTCCCTGTAGCCCATAGCTAGAACTCACTATGTAGACCAGACTAGTTTTCATCTCACAGAGATCTGCCTGCCTCTGCCTCCTGAGAGGTATAACTAAAGGTGTGCCACACCATATGGGGCCTGTGGAGATAAGTCAGTGAATAAAAGCACTTTCTGCACAAGCCTGATCACCTGAGTTTGGATCCCCAGAACCTTCGTAAAAACTGGATGAAATACTGAGAATCCCAGAGCACCTACAGGAATGAGAAGTGGAGATAAGAAAATCCAGAAGTTCACAGGTAGCCTGGGTTACACAGGAGCAAAGAAATTCTGTCTTAAAAAAAGGTGGAAAGAAGCCAGGCGTGGTGGTGCACGCCTGTAGTCCCAGCACTTGGGAGGCAGAGGCAGGCAGATCTCTATGAGTCCAAGGCCAGCCTGGTCTCCGTAGTGAGTTCCAGGGCAGCTGGGGCTACAGGGAAACCCTGCTTCAAAAAGACAAAAAAAAAAAAAAGGTGGAAAGGTGAGGGCCAACACCCTAAGGTGGTCAGAGGACCTCCACACACGTGCCATGGCATGCACATTTGCTCACACACATGAACACACACACACACACAGAGTAACAATATGGGAAAGGTTTAATGATAAGTACTGTTGACAGCATCTTAAGTTTAAAGACAGGTTGCATATTAGCACTTGTTTGGGGGTGGCGTTTTTGAGACAAAGTCTGCTATATGCCAGACTAACCTCAAATTCCTTATGTAGCTGGTGCTGGTCTTGAAATCCTGACCCTTCTGCCTCCATCTTCCAAGGGTGGAATTGCAGGCATGCAGTTCTTTGCCCAACCCTGCATATAGGCACTCTTGAAAATAGTTTGGAAGTCTCTTTCAAAACCAAATTTGAACTTATGACCCAGCAATCAAAATTTTGGTCATATCCTAGAGCAAGAATGTCACATAGGCACTTCTACATGAATGTTCATTGAAGTTTTATTCATAATAACTGAAGACTGGAAAATACACAAATGTCATAAATGTCAAATGTTAAAATAAACTGGTGCATCCATGTCATAAAATACTGCTCAGCAATGAAAAGACCAACCTAGGTGAACCTCACAAAATTATGGTCAGCTGAAATATTATTCTTTGGGCCGGAGAGATGGCTCAGCAGTTAAGAACACGGACTGTTCTTGCAGAACACCCGAGTTCGAATCCCAGCACCCACATGGCAGCTAACAAACTGTCTGAAACTCCAGTTCCAGGGGATCTGACAGCCTCTTCTGTCCTCTGAAGGCATTGCATGACACCGGTGCACTTACATATAGGCAGGCAATACATGCATACACATAAAATAAAAATAATAAATTATACATATATATATTATTCTTGAGGCTGGGGAGATGGCTCAGTACTGACTACTCTTGTAGGGGACCAGGTTTGATTCCCAGCACCCATATGGTGGCTAAAAACCATCCGTAGCTCCAGTTCCAGGGGATCCAACACCATCTTCTGACTGACTTCCTGGGCATTGCAGGACATGGATGCATTTACACACAAGCAGATAATACAGTCATACACATAAAATAAAAAAAATTAAATAGTTTTTAAAAACACTATTCTCTGGTTGGGGAGATGACTTAGTCAGTAGAGTGCAAGGATGAGGACCTGGGTCTGATACCTGGAGCCCACATACTGCACATACCGCACATGCCTCAGTGCTGGGGAGGAAGAGCCAGGAGGATCCCTGGGGCTTGCTGGCCAACTAATCTAGTGTAGTTGGTGAGCTCCAGGCCAATGAGAGACTATATCTCAAAGGAAGTGGATGGTATTCCTGAGGATGGCATCCAAGGTTGTCCTATGGCCTCTATGTGCACCCATGTGTACATGTTCACCGATGTACACACAAATACACACACAGATATATACACATAAAAATATTTTCCAAAGTGTACATACTGCATAATTCCATTTATGTAACACTCATGAAATAATAATTATAGAGATAAAAGAACAGATTGGTAGTTAAGAATTAGGAATGAGGGATGGGTGTGATTTTACAGGAATAACACAAGGAAATCTTGTGATAGCACTGTTAAGATTCTTGATTGTGGACTGAGGAGATTGCTCAATAGTTAGCAGTACCATCTACTCTTACAGAGGACCCAGATTCAATTCCCAGCTAACAACTATCCATAACTCTTGTTCCAGGGGATCCGATGGCTTCTTCTGACCTCTGAGGACACTGCATGATAAGGATGCACTTATATAATGTAGGCAATACACTCATGGGCATATAAATAATAAAATTTTTTTAGCTGGGTGTGGTGCTGCATGCCTTTGGTCCCAGCACTTGGGAGGCAGAGGCAGGTGGACCTTTGTGAGTTTGAGGCCAGCCTGGTCTACATAGTGAGTTTCAGGACAGCTGGGGCTACAGGGAGACCCTGTCTCAAAAAGACAAAAAAAAAAAAGTCATCCTTAGAGGAGACTGAGGGGAGCGAGGATGAGAG